CCCCCTCACTGGCCACAGACCATTACAGATCCGTGGTCTGTTAGGAACCAAGCTACACAGCAGGAACTGAGTGGCAGGCCAGCAAGCAGAGCTTCATCTGTATTTAGAGTCACTCCCCATCCTCCCATTACCATCTGAGTTCTGTCTGCTCTGCGGCATTAGGTTCTCCTAGGAGCACAAACCCAATTGTGAACTGCGCTTGCAAGGGATCTAGGTTGTGGACTGCTTATGAGAATCTAATGCCTGATGATCTGAGGTGGAGCTGAGACAGTGATGCTACGTATTTCATTATATATTACAATAATAGAAGTAAGGGCACAGTAAATGTAATGCACTTGAATCATCTCAGAACCATTCTCCTCCCCTAACCCTGTGGAAAAATTGTCTTCCATGAAGCCGGTCCCTGTTGCCAAAAAGGTTGGGGACTGCTGCTTGGGCCATTACAGACCGACACTCTTACTGAGCCAGAGACATACATTTCCTGATCTGCTGAGTAGAGGCAGTGGTGATAAACTGCACAGTAATTAGCAGCAGCCACAGTAATGGTGGTGACTCTTTTACAAACTTCAGTGATCTGAAATGTCAAAGCCTAAGGAGAATTCTTGGTTCTGGTGAGAACTTCATGTAAGTGACCATCTCAAAGAATAACAGCATCTTCATTGCTGTTATTAGGCAGCCCTTCTCACTGACTTTACTGAAAAAGTGAAGAAAGGGGAGACTGTGTGTGTCACCTGTCTCATCTATTTATGATGAGATTTGAGCCCAGATTTTGTTGGGGGGGGTGTGAGGTAGCCTGAGTCATGTAAACTCCTGTGAATGCATGAGGTACAGGGAAGAGACTGCACATTGAAGGCCATATAGAAAAGGGACAGTTGATTGTATATATATATGTATGCACCGTAAGACAATTTTTATGGTAAACTGAGGAACCCATTGTGTCAAGTGGTGCTAAGCCACAAAGGTTCTTACTGTAGTCATCCAACCTGCAGAATCCTGGGACAGGAACATATCTGGGCAAGTCTCTGTATTGTTGGGCCATGGCAGGTAAATTTCAGACCCCATGACATCATAAGAGGCTCCACACTAATCTTCCTGCAAGATCTGAAGTAGTCCAGGTGATATATGAGGGGAGGCTATTCTGCGTAGTTAAACCTGAGACCTCTTAGTCAAACATTAACTGTCTTCTCATCTGTAAAATGGAGGTGATAATAGTATTCATTTCAAAGATTTGCAGCATTGAGACAACACATGTCAAATTGTTCAACATGGCCTCTAACACAGAGTTAGCTATTATTAATCACTGAATAAAGCATATAAGCAGGTGCCCCATAGCTTATATCTCAACTTAGGCTGGGATCTTTTCTTTGCAAGGTTCTCTCCCTGCCTCCATTCTTCATCAGAGAGAAGTTAGTTCTTATTGGCTTATTTCCCCACAAGACCACTTACTAGATCTGGGAGGCTGGGTAGGTCATTCCTTCATTATTATCTTCCATTGGCTTGATTCTTGTATTTTACTTAGGGAGACAAGAATTGGCAACACATGAAAGCATTTCTCTGGCCACATCAGGCTGATCCATACAAAATAATCTCTATTCCAATGTACATTTAAACAGTTTTATTAGTATGTCCTTCGGCTTTTCAAGTTGAGAAAAAGAAAAACAAAAACTTAGCACTAGAAAATCTAACAATGACATTTGTCTTACCTTTTGTCGTCCCAGTTGGGTTATCAAATGGAACTTTAAGAACTAAAGTCTACTCATGAATAGACACTTTCCAAAAGAAGACATATGAGCAGCCAACACATGAAAAAATGCTCAGCCTCACTAATCATCAGAAAAATACATCAAAACCACATTGAGATACCACCTAATTCCAATAAGAACGGCCATCATTAATAACAACAGATGCTGGTAATGATATGGAGAAAAGGGAACGCTTTTGCACTGTTGGTGGGAATGCAAACTAGTTCAACCTCTATGGAAAACAGTGTGGCAATTCCTAAAAGAATTAGAAATTGACCTTCCATACAACCCAGCAATCCTCCTTCTGGGAATATATCCAGAGGAATTTAAATCACTCTACAAAAAAGATACCTGCACATGCATGTTTATTGCAGCACTATTCACAATAGCAAAAACATGGAACCCACCGTGCTGCCCATCGAAACTGGACTGGATTTAAAAATGTGGTACATATACATGATGGAATATTATGCAACATTATACATATTATACATGATGGAATATTATTACATATTATTAACAATATTATACATGATGGAATATTATTTTTTATAAAAAAAGAAAACTATGGGCTTTGCAGCAACTTGGATGGATTTAAAGTCTATTATACTCATCAATCTATCACAGAAACAAAGAACTGAGTACTACATGTTCTCACTCAAGCAGATCCTGAACATTTACCACAATACAGTAAGGAAGGGATTAGCAGTAGCAAGATACTGCCAGGGGAGGGAGGGGTCACATAACATCAGTAAGGCTACCTGATCTCAAACCAGGTGAAGTAGAGACCAAAGGGAGGCCCATACTTTACCTGTAAGAAGACAACTTGTATACCTAAATCTGAATTGTACTCCACATGTTTAAAATAGAAATTTTTTTTAAAAAAGAATTAAGTCTACTAAATAAGCTCTGCTTTAAAATACGCTAAATTATCTTTGGTGGTGTCTACAAGACTCTCATATTTGATTCTATTTCTTGAACTGCCTTTTTTATTTGTCTTCACCTGGCTAACTCCTGCCTGTTCAAAACTCAGATGTCATTCTCAGAAAGCCTTTCCTAATGCCTATTCCCCCAAAACACATACTTTCAAAAGTTAGATATCTTTACATCAAGAAACTTGTATGTATCCTATCTGAAATAATTTCTTCCAGTGCAGTAATTTATATACTTGCCTCTTCCTCTAGACTGAACCCTCTAAGAGTAAGAATTAAATGTCATTTCATTTTTTAAATTGCCAGTGCCTGGTATACTTACATAAATTCCTGAATAAAGTGAGTTTACACCTTGGTCCTGTTTGGTGTGTAATATTAGTCTACGATGCCATCTTGTGGCTAGATCATTTATTGCTATAAATAGACTATCCTATTCTAACGTGTGTTTATTTGACTTGGAGTCTCACTCCGTCGCCCAGGCTGGGGTGCAGTGGGACGCTCACAGCCACCACAGCCTCAACCTAATAGGTTCAGGCAGTCCTTCACCTCAGCCCTCCAAGTAGCTGGAGCCATAGGCAAGCACCACCATTCTCGGCTACTTTTTTAATTTATTGTAGAGATGAGGTCTCGCCAAGTTGCTCAAGTGGGTCTTGCCCTGGGCTCAGGCAGTCCTCTTGCCTCGGCCTCCCAAAGTGTTGGGGTTACAGGCATGAGCCATTGCACCTGGCTCTAACATTTATTTTTAATGTTGATTTGCCCGTTGTCCAAAATATGACATAATATTGTTTGAGATTATATTGTGTTACTGTTTTCCTTCAGGACCTTTTATGGGATATACAACAACAAAACCACTAAAGTGGCTGTTTGTGAAACTCAAATGTCTTTCTGGTACGAGTCATAAAGGCCACTATATATATGGCGATTTTGTAGTTAGTGATAAGGGAGATGTGAAGGTAGGCAGACCTAGATGTAAATCTCAGTTCTATCACATCTTAGGTGACCTTGAAAATAAACCACTCTGATTTTAAGTTCTCTGCAAAATGTAAGTTGTTCCTTTCTTATTATTTAGTATTACATAAAGTGCTTGGCATAGTGCCTAGAATGTGAAAGTGTTCGGTAAATGGTAGTTAATCTAGAATCTAACCACACTTGAGACATCCCCACCCCCAAACACGACACATCAAATATTCACCCATGTTCTGCCTGAATATCTGTAGTGAAGGTGAAAATCACTATTGCTGCATGCAGCATATTCCATTCACAACTAGCTCTAGCTTCCAATATTATGCTATGATTTTTCCTAGTAATATAAGATAAATGTATGAGAAGCTAATATTGCTATTATTTTTCCATGTTTCCTTTTTGAAGATATTTGATATAAAAATCATACAATTTCAGGTTCGTTGTCCTACATGTTTACCTTTTATGTGATACTTAAAAAAATTTTTTTGGGATTTTTTTATTTTAAAGATGCGGGGTACAATTCAGGGTTAGGTATACAGATGTTCATTACGTAGGTACCCTTGTTGATGAGGTGTGCCCCCCTCCCCTAGTAGTTTCCCACTACTGCCAATCCTGCCCCCCCGCATGTGATACTCTTTTATTATGATGCTTACTATAAATGGGGTAGGACCTTAAACGAAGCAACTTAACTTTGCTGGATTGTATCGTTAACTTAAATGGGTTTGATGTATGTTTTAAAAATTCTAGTAACTCATGCAATTACAAATTTGTTTCTTAAGTTGTTTTGAACTGTTTATTACTAAGTCATTTGAAAAATTATTCTGCTCATGCAAAAACTAGGAAACACCAAATTAAACCTATAACAAGTTAACAATCACAGGGACGAGGTAGCACTGGTACACATGTCCAAGGAGATATTAAGAGACCAGATGTTGTACACACTGGAAAGTTCAGAATGATTTCTGCAGAGGAGTAGAGATCAACAAAAACTATCACTGTTTTTCTCTAAATATTCCTTGCTCCTTAAAAATAATTTGCATGAGGGTTAATTTCTATTATAGAGAGATTAGCAACTTAAATTTCTGAATCCACTCTTTAGGGAAGATTCAGTTTAATCCAATGATTGTTCTTCATGGGCTGGTAGGCTTTTCTAATACCACAGAATGAATGTTCAGAATTCTTTTTTTCTTTTTACATTTAGGTGACTCTTGTTTCTGCTGCTCCTGGGAAAGTGATTTGTGAAATGAAAGTAGAACAACAGCATACCAATAAAATGGGCACTCTCCATGGTGGTTTGACAGCCACCTTAATAGATACCATATCAACAATGGCTCTGCTATGCACAGAAAGGGGAGCACCTGGAGTCAGTGTCGATATGAACATAACGTATGTATCCAAACTATTCCCCTAATGACTTTTATGTGATAACTGATCAAACAACTAAACACACTTATAATATTACTAAAGCATGATATTTGATTAGCTCCTTATCTCTTTAAGTAGAGTTCATTTGTCCTAAAATAGTCCATAGCCTTAAAATCTAGAACTAAAGCAGTTAATTTCCAAGTACAGCATGTATCAATAGTAAAGAAGGACTGATCTCAAACATTCAAAAAAGCAGACATTCAGCTTCTAATGTGTATACTGGTGAGGGAGGAAAAGTTACAAACTGATGGCTCCTGTTTTATTTTTTTTAATTTGGGTCTCACTGTCACCCAGGTTGGAGTGCGGTAGTATGATCATGGCTCATCGCAGCCTAAGACTCCTGGGCTTAGGATATTCATCTATCTCACAGCCTCCTGAGTAGCTGGTACTACAGGCACACACTACCATACCCAGCTATTTTTGTTGTTGTTGTTGCTATTTTTAGAAACAAGGTCTAGCTATGTGCCCAGGCTGTCTCGAACTCTTGGGCTCAAGCAATCCTTTCGCCTTAGCCTCCCAAAGTGCTGGAATTACAGGTGTAAGCCACCATGCCCAGTCCTGTAATTGTTTCATATGAGGGTTGTACTGAGTACATGCAAAGAAAAGTCTGAATAAAATGCAAAGCAAAGTTGGTGTTCATATACGCACTGTAATCTTGTTCTAACAAGGTGAGCACAAGGTGTTACTGCTGTAAAAATGCCCGCAGGGGTCAAACTTTTCCAAATGTGAAAAATTCCATTCCAACATAAACTAGTACTGTTGCCAATCCCATTTAATAAAGATCAGGGCCCAGGGATTTAGTCTCAAGACAATTGTTTTCACCTAAACAACCAAAAAAATGTATTTGTTGAGAGAACGGGCAAGGATTAGGGTAGGAGCCATAGTTACCAGACATGAGGGTAACTGAAATAATGTGGGTAACTGGGTTTTTAAGCAATCTAAGTATTTTATTAAGTTTACTTTAGAAACATTCAGTCCCTCATTACTATGGGAATAACTTAAATTGAGGATAAGATAAGCAAATCACAGGACAAGATGCAGACAAATGTTCTCTTGAAATTAAGATGTACAGAAAAGGCTCTGCTTGTTACTGGTGAGCATATTCATCAGTGTTTATCTTATTTCATGTGACAAAAGGTAAGATCACTTGATGACTCTGCTTTTCCTTAACAGCCTCTAGAGAGCAGAGAGAGATCTTCCAACCTAGCACTGCGTTTAGTGGTCTTGAATGATACTGCTGCTTTCACAAAGCAAGGAATTTTTAAGTCAATTTTTAATAAGTCAAAATTGTAATATTTTGACCTTTCAAAGTATGTGTTGCTGAAAGTGTTGACTGTCATCAAGTGCTACCCAAACTTCAAAAATTGATTCACTTGAGCAGAAACTAAGCATGGTCTCAAAGATTATAGATATTTCAAAAGTAAATGAATGTTTCAATCAGTGAGCATCTCATGATTCACTCTTGTACTACCACTTGACATGTACCAAATTTACTCTACACCTGCATATCGAGTTCTATATTACACAGACTGAAGATGGATGTTAGACTGTGACTTAAGTTAAAAAAAAAAAAAAAAAGCTACATTCCAACAACAAAAAAGATTTTAAGAATACTGTTTAAAAAAATGTCAGCTGGGCTCGGTGGCTCAACCTATAATTCTGCGCCTTTGGGAGGCTGAGGTGAGTGGATTGCCTGAGCCCGTGGGTTTAAGACCCGCCTGGGCAGCGAGACCTCATCTCTACGATAAATTTTTTAAAAATCAGCTGGGCGTGGTATCACATGCCTGTAATTCCGGCTACTCGGAAGGCTGAGGTGGAATGATCGCCGGAACCCAGCGGGTCGAGGCTGCGGTGGCCGGGAGCAGCCACTGCACTCCAGTCTGGGTGACAGAGTGAGACTCCAACTCAGAAAATAAAAATAAAATAATAAATAGAAAATAAAAAAATGTCAGCTTCAGAATTCCCCGGATTTAATGTTTGCTCATTTGTAGCACAAGGAGTTGGTTATCTTCCCCTGGTTTCATTAAGTTAATGGCTGCTAGCCCAAATTCTTTCTTTATAATAAGGACAAAATCTGGGGGAAATAATAAAAACTGGACAAATTATGACTAAGCATGCCATTTTCATTTCTTTAAATTCTTTAATAGACATGCCTCTATTCTTTCCAGCAATAAAGTCCAACATTTTTATACCTCACAATACACACTGAAATCTTATTTTTGTTTTGGCAGAAACATATATTCTTTTTTAATCCCTCTTCCTTTATAAAAAACAGAAACATAAAAGAAAACTGTAAGGAAATTATTTCTCTTTTAAAAATTTAACAATGTTTAAAACAATACTCATCCCCCAAAGTTTTATTTTTAAATTAGCTGGAGTCAGCTGAATTAAAAACAATTATGATTACAAGTGGGTAGGAAGTATATCTCTTTAAAAATATGTATATACAATTCATCACCAGGATTGTAAGGACCTCATATTAATTCCTCATAGTTCTTATATTGTCATTTTAGAGTTGAATCAATTATAAATATTGATATAACATGATATCGACACCAAGTGATAGTTCACCTAGGAAACTAAGTAGATTAAATGAAAGGTAGAGGAAATCTTTCAACAGCCCTACATAAATATGAAGTGGGAAACTTACAAAGGGAAAAAAAAAAAGGAAGCAAGAAAATCCCTTCTCATGTTTATGGGAAAAGAAACTTGCATGGAGAAGGAATGGGTAAGATAGAACCTGGTCAGAATCAGTCATTCACATTTGATAACAGGAAGCTTATGATACATATTATTCTTAATCTATTTTTAGGAGTAAAATAAATTACATAGGAAGGCTGTTGTAAGATGTATACCTTTCCCTTTTAAAGAGCATTTGCTATAATTCTATTTAAATTTGTTTCTTTTCAAGGTACATGTCACCTGCAAAACTAGGAGAAGATGTAGTGATTACAGCACATATTCTGAAGCAAGGAAAAACACTGGCATTTGCCTCTGTGGATCTCACCAACAAGGCCACAGGAAAATTAATAGCACAAGGCAGACACACAAAACACCTGGGAAACTGAGAACAGCAGAATGACCTAAAGAACCCCAACAATGAATATTAAGTATAAATTTGACTTGAAAAAATGTAATTTTGAGATAAATTAGCCAAGTCATATTTTCTTTGGGTAAACAGACCTAGAGATCAAGTAGGGTGGAAAGTGTCTGTTTTTTCATTTTAAACATCGTTTTATTTTTTTTAAATCATATGTATGATAACTGGGTGAAAAATTCTTAGTTCAAAGTGTTTTGAAAACTTACGCAAACCAAAGACGCTAGCAGGGTCATTCTTTAAAACTAAAGATCAATATTAAGCTAAAAGAGAAATACAAATTAATGGTTCTTAATCTGTTTGGGCTGCTGTAAAATACCCTAGACTGGCTAGCTTATAAACAATAGAAATTTCTCACAGTTCTGGAGATTGCGAAGTCCTGGGTCAAGGCTCCAGCAGATCCTGTGTCAGGTGAGGCCTGCTTCCTAGTTCACAGATGATGCTTTGTGTGTCCGTTTATGATGGAAGGGGCAAAGGAGCTCTCTGGGTTCTCTTTTGTAAGGGCACTAATCCCAGTCACGAGGGCAAAGTCCTCAATTTGCTATCCCCAAACCCCATCTAATACCATCACTTTAGGGGTTAGGATTTCAACATAGAAATTTTGGTGGGACAAATTCAGACCATAGCAATGGTCAATCATGAATTGTAGGTCCTTTCAAGCCCTACAATGCCATGCCATTTGCTTTCCTTTCTTAAAATGATGTAACTTCAAAACAGATGTACCATACCCCATATTGGGAAATAAAAGATTGAGCCATATGGCCTAAAACAGACTTGTTTTGTACAAAGCACATTAGTGATACAGGAAACAGTTCAATAAAGGGGAATAAAAGCATGCTATTAAGCCCTCTTGTACCTAGAATAAAGTCATGCACATCTTGAAATGCCCAGTCTACACGACTGAAAATACCAAATCCATAAATTATTTAATCCATTTCTCAAAGGTTTAAAAGTTCAGTTGACTATGGCACTCTGATTTTTATATCAATGAGTCTTAGCTCATTCATGACCGCTGGCGTAAATTTATGTCATTCCAAATTCTGTTCCTGGTTTCCACTGACAATGAATTTATGTCATTCCAAATTATCTTCCTGGTTGCTGAGGACATGAATTTACCTCATCGTGGAAGACTATCTTTTCGGGTTTATAATCTAAATAAAAATACAAAGTATGAGATGCTAGTCAGAGTGGTGCCTGGGGCAAATACTGGATGTTTCTGCAACTTTCAGCTGTATTCTGAAAAAAGGAACATTTAGAAAACACCATTGCACTTGTACTTTAATGACAGAAGTTCATGGCAACCAGCTTCAGGTTTAACCTACTCTCAGTATTAGGATAGTGAAAAATTTGCTGATCGTGAATGTGTTAATGCACATTTCATGATCTAAAGATTGAAAAGCAGCAGCTTTAATTGGGAAACAAAGTTAAAAATTATCCTTTCCATAAAAGAACACATGCTGATCTACTGACAGGGCAGAAAGACTTTCTAATAGCAGTAAGCACAGAGGAGCCCCAGATCTTGATTTCTATTATTTCCCACTAAAAGAAACCTGGGTTCCTTGGAGAAATTGCTGATTCCAGGGCTGGAGGCTAGCATAGAAAGGTTACAAGATATCTTATGCCTTAAGGTAAGGAGGTGCTCATGAAAATCATAAAGGCACACATATATTGTAACCCGTGGGTGGGGAGGGAGATCCTTGAGTTCACAGCATTTAGGTAAATGGCAGAGAAGGTCTCTTCTTCACAATGAATGCTGAAAAATGTGGGAGGGATAGATTTGGAAAAATCACTATTTTGCAACCATCATAAATATTGGTTTGGTCAGGGAAGAGTCATCAATGGAAAGGAGGATATTTGCATATAGCTTACCAGTGATTGCCAGTAATAAGTACTGTATATAGTGCAGAAACAGAACACACTGACCAAAATTAACATCAGTAAGGGGCAGATGGAGAGTACACTTCTGGATATTAACTTGAGGAGGCCACGAGGTCAATCTATGAACAATTCAAATGTAAGACGACTAAGTTTACATGAAAAATTGCCCTCTACTCCAAAAACGTAGGTCATGAAACACAGAAAGGCTAAGGGCCTGATACAGATTAAAGACAACTAGGGACAAGACAACTAAATGCAATGATCTTGTACTATAGGGGGATTAAAAAAATACATGCACTATCAAACATTGGGTAATTAACAAAACTGGACTATGGATGATAAAGTATCAGTATTACATCCCTGAGTTTTATAAATTTACTGTAATTATATGAAATATTCTTTATACTTGGAACATATGCCAAAGTTCTAATCACAAAGTATGCAACAAACTCTCAAATGGTTCAGGAAATACATATAAATATATGTACAAAGAGAAAATAAATTTGGCAAAATGATAAAAATATGGGTAAAGGTTATACAGGAGCTTTACGTATTACTCTGGCAACTTTTCTAAATTATTCCAAAATAAAAACTTAAAAATAAAACAAATGGCTGCTTAAATGCCAGAACAAGTGTAATTCAATATGGTAAAACAGTGAAGAGCTTGAGTCCTAGAGCTAGACTGCCTGTTTTAAATCCTCCACTATTTATGATGTGAGCTTGGGCAAGTTCCTTAACCTTTGCATTTATTCCCACTCAGGGCTGTTAGATTGTTTAGAATACTACCTGGCTGTAATAAACATTCAAAGTGTTATTTTGAGTAGATTCTAACTTTAACTGATGAGAGAATGTATGAAAGCATTCTGAAATTAAAAATGGCATTATTTCCCATGAAGCAAGTTAGTACAAACCCAGTTGCCAGGTGTTTTCTTCTGAATTTACTGTTTAGCCATTGACTATGAAATAATCCCCTAAGGTGACCAGTAACATCAACGATTTGGGGGGGGAAAAAAGTTACCACTTCAAGCTTTGTGTATTCACCTGAATAGTCAGGGAACTTTCACCTATTTTATTTAGGTTTTCATTTTTTCAAATTCCAACCAGAAGCTAAATACAATTGGAAACTGGTAAGCACTAGTTTTACTCCAAAGGAGTAGGATCATTCAGATTACTCCAATAAAAGTATGCAACCCTTAAGCAAAGCTTTTCTTCATTTAAAAGAAAAAAAAGAAAACAAAAACTATACAGTAGTCTTTCCTTATGTTCATTGCACAAAGTGAGTTCCGCTTCTAGAACTTTGACACTCAATGTTCTTACAAATTAAGTTTCCAACTTTTATAACTTTACTCCAAAAACCCCTCAATTTTAAGTTTTTCTTTAGGATGGTGTAGAAACCAGTATTTCTGCACAATTCACTGGAATTGTTTTCTTTGTAATAAAAATCTCTTCTCTGTAAAAAGACAAAAAAAAAAAAAAAGTCCCAAATAAAGGGAAAGTCCTTTCCTTATCATGGTTTCTGCAGCTATGAATATTCTCAGTTTTATAGCTGCTTTAGTTACTTCAGACTCCAGATCTGCTTTAATGTGTGTAACTGCATCCACACTAAGCAGAATACTCTTTTACAGTTAACAACTTGGGGAAAGAGATCTGGGGAAAAAAAACAAAACATACTTTATGAGTACCAGGAAACAAACATAGCCCAGTAAATTGAGGCAAGAACGCCTACAATGAGATGCTTTTTTTCATTTAAGATTTCTTTCCCATGGTTGTATTTTCTTTTTAAAACAACCACTTCTGGTCATTAGAATGAATCTGACAGTGCTCTGGAACAACGGTGATTATACCAAAGCTATAATGTTTTTTAAAAATGCTATTTATACCTGTTACATTCACTTCTCACCCTCTAAATACTGATGACAGATGTCAAAGAGGCAAAAACCAGCACAAATGGGAAGGCCATCAAAATGAGTATCACCTTGTGCTTTCAGATACATTTAAGCATTTCAGTGTACAATAGTCCTTTCATTTCACATTTTTAGTAAGATGCTGATGCAGTGCAGCAGATATGCAAAGCATCTTCTTTCACACAGTCCGTGTAGAAGACATCTAATTTTTTTTAAGTTCTGAGATACAAATGATTTAAAAAAATCCAGGATGAACAAGTTTCAAAATGCATAGTGTTCTGTGCATGAGTCCATTTTCTTTAAACTCTGAAAGAATAAAGTGGTAAGAAAACAAGAAAAAAATTGCTGCTGCATTCTCTGATCTTCTCCATTTTGCTGGTCAGTACTCTTATTCTGGCATATAAGGACGGAGGTGATCCTCTATGGTGCCAACTGCCCAGTGGGTGAGCTGTTCCTGTGGCAGGTAGAGGCAGATGCTGCATAACTTGAAGATTGTAGCTTTGTTTTTTGGAGTCTGGAAGGGAAAATGTTTAATATTTTTAATAAATATGACTAATCTGGTCACATGAACTCAATCTCCCACAATTTATTAAACATCTATGGGCACAATAACAAACATACAGAATAAAAGATAAATTACAGTTCTCACTCATAGTCAGAATCTTGCCACACAGGATATAGGAAAAACAGAAAGAGAATTTATGCAGTACTAAAAGATAAACAGAGAAGCCAACCAGAGATTACTTGCTAAAATAAATTACAGTGAAAGGCATTTCATGGGGTCAGTTCTAAGTAGAGGATGAAAGTCACGTTTATACACAGGAAGACAAAGTAGTGTGGTTAGAGTAGAAGCAAGGGAGAGGATAAGGAATAGTTAAAGACTTAAGCATATACTGGTATAGGAAACTAGAAGAAAGCCATACTGCTAAATCAAACTCCATTAAAAAGCAGTTACCATGTGAACATCTAACTTAATGAATAACATATGCTAGGTGCTTTTACAAATAACTACTGCTAGTGAATGGGAGATGGAATCTGAACCCAGACTGCAAAGTTCATCTTCTTTACTATAGCACCTCTAAAAGGCAAAAGACTTTGACTTTGATGTTGTCTGAATTAGTCTATGAATGTAAACGAACCTATACACATATACATATATTGATTCATTTAAAATGTCACAACAACCTTACAAATATCACTGCTCAATTTAGCAGGACCATGCTCACAGAAGTCACATTTTGTTCAAGATCACATAACCAGCAAGTGGCTGCATCTAAGAGCTAAACTGGAATACCTAAATTGCTGCTTAAGGAGAAGTGCTTACTTGAAGGACATGTGGATCTGTTAAAAATAGATGTGCCTCATCCCTTCAGATTTTGATTTAAAAGGTTTAGGCCAGTGCTCCTCAAAATATTATGTAATCACCTGAGGATTTTGTTAAAAATGCATATTGTGATTAGTAGGACCTGAGTCTCTACAGTTTTAGGAAGTTTCAGGTGATATTAATCTGTTGCCCACATATCAGACAAAAAAGCTCTAGGGCAATAGTTCTTACTACTGTTCCCTAGACCATGGCTTTTAAAAGCTTCCCAAGTAATTCTAATGTGAAGCCAAGTATGGGAACATTGTTCAATGCTTACCTGCAAGTGCTGTCTGTCAATGAAGAGAAACACTGACTGGTTAGGATTGTTGACAACAATTCCAGTCTTATCCTTGCGGCTCAGTACATGCAGAAACTGTTTTTCATAGTCACCGTGATGAAACTCAAATTTGGCCTAATTACAAAATACAAAGATTTATACTTAACTACAAACATGTTACACTAACTGAAAAATCTGTACCCATATGCACATATCTATGCCATCCAATATGAAGTCAATAGCCACACGTGGCTAACTTAAATTCAAATTAATTAAAATTAAATGCCTTCCCTCTTCCTGACAAAGGGAATATGCTCTCCAAGTTAAAAAAAAAAATTTAAATGCAATTTAAAATTCAGTTCTTCAGTAACATGAGTCACTTTTCAATTACTCAGTAGTCACTGGTCACTATCATTTTCTTCACTGCAGAAAGCTCCATTAGATACACTGTTATATAAATTCATCTTCAAGTTCTACATTGAAATGACTAAATCTAATACTCAATGACCATACACCAAATTTTATAATATATTTTCAAACCTCCCATCTTGGTACTTTAAATTCCAAAGACATCTCCCTTTTTTCAGTTAGGAGGCACACTGCAATAGTTCTTATATCTCACTAGTTATATGACCTTATACAAATTCCTTCTAACTTCAGCATCTTCACCTATAAAATAAGGTTCTGCTAGGCACAGTGAATCATGCCTGTAATTCCAGCACTTTGGGAGGCCAAGGCGGGAGAATCGCTTGAGGCCAGGAATTCAACACCAGCCTGGGCAACACAGTAAGACCGCTACAAAAATAAATAAATAAATCAAAAAATCAAAAATATTAGCCAGGTATGGTGGCGTACGCCTATAGTCCCAGCTACCAGAGAGACTGAGGCAGAAGGATCACCTGAGCCCAGGAGGTTGAGGCTTCAGCAAACAGTGATCGTGCCACTGTACCCCAGCCTGGGCAACAGAGTAAGACTCTGACTCAAAAAATAAATAAATAAAATAAGGCTCTAACCCATTTTACAGGGCAGTTAAAAGGTAAATAAAACAAAAGTAAAGCCCACACCTGAAATACAGTTCCACTCTTCATACAGATGGGTTTCTGAAGATATATGAACCTCTTGAAATTTGTAAATTTTTGTGTGCATTTTTTCTACAACTAGCCTTAGGTTGTTTTTTAAAAAATCCTAAAGTTATGGAAAACTGTTATCAATAAGTCAGAATATTCCCTCAATCTTTTAACATGAGGAAGATCAACTCCATCCTCCCATAAGATGTCCATGGTCATTGGGAGAGGCTATATATGCTAGGTGACAAGACCAGGCTTAATGGAGAATTCAAGAAACCTAGATTTAAAAACCTGATAATTAGATGATACTAAGTTATAAAAGTAGTTGCCAGTTCATGTGGCTCAAGCAATTTTTATTCCCGTATTATGTCAAAAACAGTAGGAAACATTCAAATGGAAAAACTATCAGATATAGCTATCTAGGGTTTTAATACCAAGTAGCTTTTTTTATAAACCATAACATATGATATGGTATCCCTACACAACTACTGTATGTAAATACTTACCGAACTCATAGTATGTTCATAACTATATGAAAAGCAAGCTATTGGCTACTAAAAATAAGGGGCTTATTTATTACACCACTGAAGAGGACACACAAATAAATTACAAAACCCAAATCCTTTCCTAGAATAAAATGTGGTTATTCGTAAAACCCCAAATTGGGTTATCATCAAAATGGTAGAAAAGAAGAAATAACAGAGTAAGCAATATAGGAGAATTACATGATTTTTGGATTGTACCTTGAAAGACTAAGATTACTTTCCCAAGGAAAAGTAGTGATGGTAAGTAACTTGGAAAATGTCTTTCTAGGAAACAGACTCAACACAAACATAAATGTATTAAAAGTTGAAATATGCTTCAAGTAGCAAGGCTGCAAGTTGGCGAATACCAGGGTGGATGAAAGTGCCAGTAGTAACACTGAAAAGAGGTTTGAGGGAGACTGAAAAGGTCTTCCATAAAATTTTATGACATTTTAATTACATACTTGTACTTCCAACACTTTGGGAGACCAAGGTGGAAGGACTGCTTGAGGCCAGGAGTTCTAAACCAGCCTGGTTTAGAGTGAGACCCCATCTCAACAAAAAATTTTGTAAAAAATTAGCCAGGCATGGTAGTGTGTACCTGTCATCCTAGCCACCTTGGAGGCTGAGGCAGGAGAATCACTTGAAGCCAGAAGTATGAGGTTGCAGTTAGCCATGATCATGCCACTGCACTACAGCCTAGGCAACAAATTAAGACTCTGCCACCACTCCCCAAAAATAATATCCTTACTCTGGTTCTTATTAAAGCTCACAAAGGAAGTATACAGATTTCAAAGCGCTTCAAGAGTATTTTTTAAAAATCTGCAAGTTAAAATTTACTATTCCTTTTCTCATTTTACCTTGAGAAACCTAAGTCATTTATATTTAAGGCCTCTCACTCAGGATATTCATATAGTATTTTTAAATTTTCAGAGAAGTTAGTTTTTACATTTACTGTGACTGAATGTTACAATTACAGAAGTTATTACCTATATCCTACTGCTTATATTCAGTCCAGAATGTAAGGTTCTATAATTAATACAGGGAATTTTTCACAGTACAAGGTAGTTAAGAGCACAAACTTTACAGTCAGTCCAGGCTTTTACCCTGACTACTACTTAACTGTATTACCTAAGTGCAAAGTGTTGGGCCTATTATTTACCTAATTTCTAAATGCCTCAGTTTTCTTTTCTGCACTGAAAGCATACTGTACTGTGATTAAGTAGACCTACATTTTTCCAATGTGAAATCCTGAACCAAAAAACAAAGAAAATCTTAACAATACCTCCAGAGAGCAGTTAAAAGTTAGGAACAGGTCCTGGTCTGAAAACTTCAAACAAATCTTTTATACTGCTATTTTCTTTCCTTTTATATTCAATTAATTTTTTCTAGCACATTCTTATCAGACAGATTTCATCCAAGAAACAAATAGATACTACATGACTTACGTTACATCCCGATAAATCCATTGTAAATTGAATTTATCATGAACTGAAAAGACACTTTTGACTTCTGATATTTCTAATTTATGATGCATTTATCTGAACTCAATCCCATTGTAAATTAAGGAGCATAATGAATTTGTATCACTTTCACATCATGGTAAAGTATAAAAATCTTAAGTCAAATCACTGGTAAGTCAGGGACACCTACATATGATACTTTCACCTGTATTTAGCTTATGAATTATCTTTAGACCTTATTACTGCCAAATAAATCTTAGAAAAATGATACTTTGAGCTGGGGTGGAGCAACATTACAATAGAGGGGGAGTATACCAACTTACACAGTCTATCACAAACAAAGGCACCATAAAGACACTTCAGAGTAATAAGTAGATGCAAAATTTTTAAATGACAGATAATTTTCATATTCCTAAACAATTAGCTTAAAATAAATAATCCTTCTAATATTTGGTTTAGTATACTTAAAACAAGTCCTTAATATTACCATTTTTTACTATAAAAGTATACTCATTTTAAGAAAACTATGGAGCGATATATACAATGAAAAAAAAATATATATATATAGATAATAAATTAAAAAGGAAAGTTAGCTATACCTGACTTACCACTAAGCATAATTAACATGCTGATGGCTTTCCTCCTCCACATATAAAAATTATTATAAATAAAATTAGAATCAACACATGGCTAAATGTCCTTCAATTAACACTAGAAATTGTCCGGTACATCAAATGACAAGTAATCAAAAGTTAGCAAGAGTTTAAGAAAGGTTAATTCAAAACCACTACTAAAATTTACTTCTTTTCTGTATATACCAACAACTTCTAGAAAATAGTTTCTTAACCCATTTTAGAACAGATTCCTTTGAGAACCAGGATAGTTACATATACTATTTTAGGAGTACACGTGGTAAGGAAAATGAGGGTCACAGATATCTTCTGAAGTTCATTCATTAAGTTCCTCTATAAATTAACAAATGTTCACCTTAAAGATTTTCTCCAGCCCTAACTTTAAAGCCACACTAGACAGTTAGAATCACTTCAATGTCAAGAGCATTATTTAAAATACTTTCTTCTCTTGCAACACAACATTAAACAGAGCAGTAAGGATTCATGAAAGCATATTCCCAAACAATTTATCAGGTTAGACCTTATTCAAGGACTTTTCACTTACTGAAGTGCACATCACATTAATTTTGGAATAAAATACCTGAATAGGCCTAAAAGGCTCATCAGATTCCTTCCACCTAGAAAACAGGAGACAGACAATTTTCTCAATATCATTCCGAGGCCAAAGAATGAAATCCATCTCCTGAGTACAGCCAATTACATCCTATAAAATGACCAAAAAAACAAAAATAAGCAATGTCACAGATTAAATGGTTTGATATATTTTACAAGTGCAAAAAAGCTACCATATAGCACCTCATATCTTAAGTAACAGCAATAGGATTGTATATAATCTCAATAGCTCATGACCTATTTTTAATTTTTACCCTGTATAATTTTTACCACATATAGTCACTCAATCCAGTGTTCCTAACACCAATATCTAGATTTATCAGTTGGTGACTCCAATTAAACCTGATTTTTTTTTTAGTTAGAACCCCCATCTTTATTCCTACCATTGAAAATCAGAACCAATTTGACAAAAGTGCCTTGAAACTTCTAATATGAGTCACTATCTTATAATAGTTGAAATGCTGTTTTTATGTGTTGATAGAAAACTACTTTTCTTTACTGTTGACATCCTCTTCATTATCACAGCCAGCATACTAACCCTTTGCACTTGGACACATCTAGCACATCATCTACCAGCAACTCAACTGCATTTTTTAAGGAAATGGTGAAAAATGAATCACTTCATATTAATAGTATAGTGTGAGAACCAATTATTTGATTGAAGCACTTTTTTTTTTTTTGAGTTGAAGTCTCACTTCAGCAGCCAGGCTGGAGTGCAGTAGCATGCTCACGGCCACCTCAGCCTCGACCTGCTGGGCTCAGGTGATCCTTCTGCCTCAGTCTTCCAAGTAGCTGGAACTACAGGTGCACTAACATGCCCAACTAGTTTTTTGATTTATTATACAGACGAGGTCTCACCATGTTGCCCAGACTGGTCTCGAAACCATGGGCTCAGGCAATCCTCTCACCTCCACCTCCCAAAGTGCTGGGATTACAGGCATGAGCCACCACATCAGGCAGAACCAATTATTTTATTCGAATGGTATTTGGCTTATAATAAAATACTGGACATTGAAGAAATTATTTATGACAAAAGTCACAATTTTATATCTTACATTTTTCTAACGTGTGGTAACATGTGAAACAGTTAACGACATGCACTGAAGGTTCATTGACACCTGTTGTGCAACAGTAGTTTGTTTGACATCTTTCTACCTGGTGTTTTTCTGTTCAGACAATGCAGTTTCGTTTTCTTCCTCCCACATTAATAATATGTAGTTTATTGTCCAATCTGTTGTTTGAAGATGTGGAAGGATGCACTCATGATTTCTGAAAACCACTTATCAACTGATCTATCATATCTTAGTATATAGTTCATCTCTTTATTTGTTTTTTCATGCAATTTGAATGAAAAATTCCAAGAACACATACATTTTTGAAAAATTTGCACTTGCATAAGGTTGTCCTGTATAATCACCAGCAATGTCTTTACGTCCCCTGAGAGGGAACATCAGAGTGGACTGCTAGATTTATGATGTCCCCTCCAACTGCAAATGTTTAATTTTCAAAGGCCAATATGCTTTCAGACCAGTACATGGTTATCTCCAGCCTTTTTCCCCACCAAATAATTGTGGGGATCTCTTGTTCAAGTATGTCCAGATTAATTTTCAATGTGTTACAATAAAAGCTTCGAAGGCTGGCAACAATATCTTCTTCTTTAAGTTTCTTATTTATAAAGGGGCAAGATGTTAGTCTCCCCCAAAAAGGGAAATGCAATGAACAATAACAAAACATTATTCACAATAGCATACACCATTACCAGCACAATACCACATAAGCAAAGTTATCCATGATTTATTTGAGGTCAGATTTTTAAAAACAAATCTACTTTATGAGCTTAAAAATTTTATGCACCAGCCGGGCTCAGCGGCTCAGCCTGTAATCCCAGCACTTTGGGAGGCTGAGGTGAGAGGACTGCCTGAGCCCGCGGGTTCGAGACCCGCCTGGGCAACTTGGCGAGACCTCATCTCTACAAAAAATCTG